GATTTGGTCTGTACACGATCTATCCTGATAGAATCCTGCCTGTTGGTCACGAAGTTGGGCGTCTACACTAAATTGATTCAAATATAATAACTAAAAGGTTGAACTAATTAGTTGAATAGTAATGAAATGAAAATGATGATTTTAGAGTATATACTAGTTGTTGTTGTTCTTCTTCTTCTTTAACTTAGATATTTAGAGATTATGAGTTGTATGATGTAATAAAATGTTTCAGTTTTGACTCTAACTAATAAATTATAATACAGTCATATTGTGGTATATGCTACTTATGTCTTTCGACGTTAACACTAATCAAAAGTGAAAAACCTTTCAGCGGAAGGCTAAGAAGATCAAGTTGAAGAACACGGAAATGAATTGTGATTCAGAAGGATCAGATAGAATGTAAAGTACAATTGATGAATAATTTGCAAATTAAATAGTTAATGTATAGTTCTCATATTTTATCAAGATATTCTGTAATTTTGTATTAAAGAATAAATTGGTTAATATCAGGAGGGGTTTTGTGGATATTATAGTAATTTCAGTGGTTGAGATCATGAGTCTAGTGAGAAGCAGTGACCAGTGGAGTTCACTCAGGTCAACTGTGAGATAGTTACACACTGTTGACAATGGTGAATGTGTCGCTCAATTTCGTGGATTAGTTGAAATTCGACATTAACACCATTGGATACCGGCCAGCTCAGTGGTCTAGTGGTTAAGCGCTCATGCGCGAGACTGATCGGTCCTCGGTTCGAATTTCGTGAGGCGCGATCGTAGATGTGCACTGGTGAGGAGTTCCATTATAGGAAGAAACGGCCGCCCAGAGCTCCCAGGTTTTCCATGGTGATCTAGCTTCAATTGACTCATGATCTCAACTATTGAAATTACTACAATCTCCACAAAACCCCTTCTGATACAATTGAAATATTTAAAAAAAAGTTATTCAATAAATAGAGTTTTCACCTTCGATGACTATCCAGAAAATTTTAAACAGACTGATGAACAAAAATGATTTAAATAAAACTATTTTGAATTTGGTTATATTTGAAATTGCATAATTTTCTGATTGATCAAAGGGAAATAATAATTACTGCACAATTCAAATGATGTTTTTAAATCTTTTCATAACCCGACATCAATATGGTATTTATAGGGACTTCTCAATGTGTTTTTTTTCTCTCTCTATCTCTCTCTCTCTCTAAACAACTACTCAAGTAAATGTTATTTTATCTGATCCATAGATGACATGAAATGTGTTAAACATTTAATTGAATCGTGTACTTATTGTTGAAATATATGCGTACACTTGTTGTCAAACTGTTCAATGGATAAAATGTTTCAGAATATACAAGTACTTTTACATCTATTTATAGTACAAAGGTGTATAATAATAATAATAAGTTATCTTTGTTAATATTGGCGAGAGAGGGAAAGTTTTTTTCACCCTATCAAATTCAATACATTAGGCAGGGTGTGACCAGTAAATAGATCAATCTGTAAAGAATAGAATCTATAAATTACACTAATCTTTGTATAAAACTTTTTCAACTAGACTATGACAATAAACTCTCTGTCAACTTTTTTAAAGGTATTCCTGAACAGCTAGTAACAAGTGATAACTAATGAAGTTCAGATATGTCAGGAGTGAACTAATCGTAATCAATTGCAATGAATGATCATCGTTGATTGAATTTCAAAATTGCACCATCAAACCCATTAAACTAGTAGTTCTAATTGTTAGGCGTCTGTTACAAAACCTGAAAGTTATAAGTTCAGCCAAACAGGGTGCTATGAATGCATACTTCTAAGAAGTTCCATTATTAGGACAATCAGATATTCAGTGCTTCCATGTTTGTACTTATATAACATGTGAGATAAATCAATATGACTGTAAAGGATCTTCCTATTCTGACTCAAACTAAAGATCACAACTCCCAATCCTAATTTTTACATTTTGTTTAAGATTTTTATGTAATAAATTATTCCTTCATATCATCTGCATCCTACATGACTTAAAATTGGCTTCATTGTCTCAAGATCATTCGACGATCCGCCAAAGGTCGTCAGTAAAGTATATTTATGCTAGAATAATTATAAAATTTTGCAATAATTACGTCTTCGAATCCTACTTCAATATATTTTTCAGGACAGTACTAGATAGGATCTGTCACTTTATGAAGTTATATCAAGTTCGTTATTTTTGCGGAACCACGGTAGGAAACCTGGATAATGAAACTTTTCTGGAAACCTTTTCTTTTCTGTCATTTCTTTTTTCGATACATACAATATCGTCCATAATAATATTATTCTCGATAAAAAATATCGAATAATAATAAAGTTTGAAATAATTGGCCATGATATTTAGGTTTTAATTTGAGTCGGTAGAAGGATGGAGATAGACGGCACTATATTTTTCTGAACCAAAGTTTCGTGTAAGTTGGCAGTCGTCGGAAAAGTATTCCTGAAAACTTGTGGAGATCAAACTTCCGGGATCTAGTTTCATAATCTGTTATGTTGCCGCTGGGATCTCCTGGCGTTTTGTTACGCAACAGGGGAGTTATCTTCCTTAGAAAAAATCAAAGTAATGGTTGGTTGGAAGAATAATGAAAACCTTTATATCAATGATCACACCTTCGTAGTTTATGTAATGATCTAGTAATCTATCTTATATACATTAAATAATATATATAGGAAAATATAATTTATCTACACCCAGTTGATCAGCTGCCCCCTAGAAAAGCATTTATTTTGATGATGAGTTTTTCCGTCACATGGTATTTGATAAATTTGTTATGATGACTTTCTTGGTCCTCTCGGAAATAACTTTGTGGTAGTTTAATCTATTGTCTTTATACATGTTAGTAATAGTTTGATTTGGAACATGATAGTTCTCGATTCGATGATCGTATCAAACTTCATATCTAACAGTATGTCAGTATCTATTGTTCAACTGTTGCTTCTAGAATCAAAGGTCCATGATTTCATAAATATTCGCATTTGACTCTTACTTTCCCTCTCCGATAAAAGATGCATCAGCAGTTCGTAAATCATTGGGTATTCCAAAGATTTGCAAGATGCATTCATTTGAATCATTCACATACTTATAAAGAAACTCGATTTCCTAATAAACTACATCTTTGTGTAGCCATGAAAAATTATGATTTCAGAAAGTGTATATCTCAATATAAAATGATCGTTCGTTATTTCATTTTATAATTGACTCATCAATAATCCATAAATCCATATGTTCTGTATTAAGGGAGCATGTTAATTAGACAATCTTTTTGGTTAGTGAATGACCTAAAAGAACAGATTTAGTAATTCATTGATAAATATTTTGTATACCCGTGTGTAATTCGACTATACAGAACGACTTATATTTTGGTGACGAGATCTTTCTCGCTGTCTATTGGAACAGTACATCGATGATTCGAATTTTGTAGGGACTCATCACTGTCATCCAAATACGTTATCATCCAGTTGCACAGTAGGACTAGAAAGTAGTTCATATAGTGTAGAACATATAGGCCATACTAGTTTCATTGCTTTAATAGAATTCCTCTACACTGTAGACTGACTATCTTTATTCCTTCTGTGTCTACGCATGTAAGTGTTCAAGATTTCAATTTCCTAAAAAAACTTATATCTCAGTAGCGATATCGAAACAATACACACTAGATTTACATACGAAAATAGGGACTGATCAATTACAGCCCATTATATCAATAAAGGGTAAGTAAAAACACACACGGGTGTCCTAGATTCTACTGTAACCATAAACCAAGTATACAACACACATGTATATATTTATATTCAAGTGTTAATAACTCATAAATCCTACCTTAAGATCCCAGTGATGAAGAGAATTATGTTTTATCCACTGGAAAAGCTAATAAAAGAATGAGTAATTTGTACAAATGATGAGGCAAACTTTAGTGAACTATAAATACTACTACTACTACTACTACTACTACTAGCCCAGTGCATTCATGAAGGAGTTAGTGCGTTCATGTGCACTAAATTTATCTTTCCAACACCGACGGCACTTTAATTATATATATATATATACCACAGGTTAACATTATAGGCTCACATAGATAACCTGATCAACTGTTGTTTCTTTATCCAATCAACTAGTATATTAGAGAACAAAAGTAACTGACGAATGCTTCTCTACCATGCATACAACCTCGCCAAAATCATAATATAACGGCATTTACTTTATCTCATTCCTTTTTTCTCAGTATAAAAATTGATGAACGGACATCTCTAGCCAACATATATATATATAGTTCGGTTGATTTGGTAAAGTGTGTATTTTTCAAAATAGAATAAAAATAATTTTGGGAAATAGTTGCCATGATTTTTTAGAAGACTCATACAATATATGTAATGTATGTATTTGTGTTAGTATATATATATATATATATGTGTATAAGTATATATGGCGTGTGCACACACAGAAAATAAACGCACATCTCATTAATACTCGTTTGTACATAATTGTCATATTCACACATCTGAAAGTATGTTAATAATAATTATATATGGAACAATATAATCATTATTATTCCTGAGTCAATTGAAAATGTCATTGTGAGTCAAGTCTACTGATTTCCCGAACTTGTATATACGTAAGTGCATATATACGCCTCTCTCTCTCTCTCACACACACACACACTTTCTCTCCATGCATATGTGTGTATGTGTTTACAACCAACAAGTAACCAGGTTAATGAATACTGACTGGATGATTTGTAATTCATTTGTGATTAGACATATCAAAAGATAAATTACTTAGAAACAACTAACACTATTCTTTTGTTTGGAATTAAAAATAGATATGCCTCACTTTTATGTACCACTTAATACACCATTGAATAAGTGTAAAAAAGATTAAGAATATGTCTAATTCATGAATAACATGATAATTTTTTTCTTTTCTTTTCTTTTCTCCTCTTTTTTTGTTCTTCATAGAAATTCTTTTTATAATTTTGAATTGTTCAATTCCTGGGAATAAAATGACACTGAAACAAATCAACTTTATTCCATTCTTCTTTGAAATAACACTGTTCTTTAATCAATATAAATTATGTACACATTTTATATTCATTATTTCATAATCATTTCAATGTTTACAATAGTTCATTCAATCTTTTTAACAAGTATATTACATTACTTTATAATAACAGCTGATGAAAGTCGACCAAACGACAATCATAATAAGGATGTATATAATAGTAATAATAATAATAATAAATGTATTATTATAGAAGAAATCCTGATTAGTACATTTGTATGTGATTTAATGTTTCTTTATGATCATTATACACCGAAAAATACATCAAAGACTTCACTGATATTAAATATCTTAAATGAAAATCAATATTTTCAAATTATTGATAATCATCAATTAGTAACAAGAGGACGTATTGATCGTGAACATTATGTATTTGAAAAATTATGCCAAAATATTCAAAAGAATAATAATATGCTAGTGAATTTTGACGAGGATTATTCCTTATTAAATGAAGGTGAGCTTTGTTGTTGTTGTGTTCAATTTGTTTTTTTGTATGTGTTTCCATGCATATGTGTGTGCATGTGTGTGTATGTGTTGACAAACTGAACTTTAATTTCATATTATGATTTGTATAAGGAAAACATTTTTTTTCCTGATGAGTAGGTGATAAAATGTAATACCTTGGGGATTTGGGTTAACCAGCCATTTGTTTTTATTATTGAAGTAATGTGTAATATTTGACAATATGAAACATTTTATCTGTTCAGTAAATGGAGATAAGTAATACATATTAGAGATTTTATTTTGAGCCTTTAATCTCATTATATTTGAGTTTTTTATTCATCATGTTTGACTGTGCTACATTGACATGTTCATAACACATTGTTGTTGTATACCTCCAAACTTTATTGAGAATTATACTGGGATATGCAACACTCACCAATTAAATGAGTAGAAATGTAGTCGCAAGTGCTGGATATAACTCATTATTTTAACACTGATAACGTGACAGTTAGCAGTTAGTAGTATAAGTCCAAAACCACTAGTCGACTACCTACAACTGCCAGATTACATCTTGACATAACTGGATGTTGAGTCAGTTAAAGTAATGACCACATTTCAGCTTGACTGATGGAACTCAATCAGTACTACATAGAACTAAGTAAATATAAGACTGGTGACTACTCACTTATCGACCAGTTGTATTCAAGTATGTCTGTTGCATGATTAATTATAAATGCCAACCAAAAAGATCAGAATACTACTGTCTTAGGATGTTTGATCACCAACTACTACTTAAAAAACCCTTTTGATTAATAGAAGAACAGAGATTGTTATATTATACCTTATAGTGAGTTTTTGATAATGTGATAAGCTTTTAGTAATATACAGATGGCTTAGGAGTGTGCATAATGCATACTTTTTAAGGAAGACAATGTACACCAATAATGCATTAAAAAATGAATTAATTAAAACACATACCTCTATAAACAGAAATGATGGCGGCTTGCAATGTTTGTGACTTCCGGCAATATCGAGGCAATCCGTACATAATGCACAAATACCAATAAGAGACTGATCAATTGTAGTCATAAACTTAAATGTGAAGATTCAAACAACAAATACAAAAATGAACATGTATCTATAATTATGAAAAACTAGGAATTCATAAAGCTACTGATGATCAGTCTAATTTTCTTTGAAAATTGGAAGAGTTGGACAGATGTAGAATAGTTTATCGGAAACCTTGAACTTACGTTTTATGTTTTCTTGACACCCAACGGATAGATGCATCGGTAATGTAAAAAAAATTTGGTGCCATTTATGGATTTTTATTCCGCATCCTAAGTGACTTGATATTCCGTGCACTTTACCTTAATGTTAATTAATTAGACACAATCTGTGAAACGGTTTAAATAGCTCAGCAACTCTTTGATAATTACATCATTTATTAAATATCTGAAATAACATATTTAACTTTAGAGAAACACAAAGGAATGCAAACTTTTCAGTTGAATTCTTTACAAATTTTCATTGTGTAATACTCTTTAACTCTCCTCTCTTTACTATTTTCCTATCGACTGTGTGTCATCAGTTGGACTCTTCTTCGAATGTTACAGTTTTTTTAACACCATTTTCACACTGTTTTATTTGACTAGTTAAAAACTATTTGAATGATTAAATAACTTGATAATGAAAAAACAAATAAACTTGCAAAAAATTTCTTGAGTAACACTGTAATCTATTTATCACATATATACTATTAGAACAATACATATAAGCAAACAATACTGTTTCTGATTAGATCTTCGTAAGGCTTTATTGTAATATACGTGAATAAAAGACATTTTAGGCAGCTGATTTTACAGTGATGGTTTCTTTTGAACCAATGATTTGTATTTAAACAAAAGATAAAGTATCTGAGTTTACTTCTTTAATTTGAACCTACCAACGAATAAGAGAACATCTTCTTGTGTGGTTTTGAAAGGGTAAAGTTAAAAAATAAACATAGCTCTATCTAAACAAATCTGATTAGCAGTGGTCATATGATTCCTTTTGCCCAGAGGATTTCAGGTTAGGGCTTGCTTTGCGATGCATTTTCTTCAGTGTGTGTCCTATCCACCAAGAGTGTGGTGGTGGAATCTAGTTTGTTCTCTGCCACAATAGGTCGTTGCTGATGATGTCAGGCCAACGGATTTGGAATATCTTGTATAGACAAATGTTTATAAGCACTTGTATCCTTTTGATGATGGTTGTAATGATCTATCATTTACCTTCATTATTTCCGAATAGAGATCGATCCTGTCTACTACATATCACAGAGACATTAAGGATTCGAACCAATGACCCTATTTTATAACTTCCGTTCACATACTTCACTATGTGATCGTTTACACACTTATTGTGTAATTCTAATTGGTTTTATCCAACTTTGACCTACATCTTGTGTGGAACTATTGATTAAAACTTGATATTTTACTGTTCTTGTCGCTACTAGTACACTTGTTTTCCTATTATTAGTTTGTATATTTTACCATTTATGCGTAGTTATGCAATCTATGTCACTGTGGTCATAGACTCATAAACTGGCTGGATTGATTTATTAATCCCGTACATATAGAGTGAAGCCGGATAAATATCAACTTGGAAACTCTATAATTAGTTTATGTGGATTGTATTAACTTTCACAATCAGGAACGTCAACAACATATCAATGGTTTTTTATAAAATTAACTATCATATTTAGAGAATCTTTATGTTTATCTTAGTGTTTTCATCGCGCTATGCTGATGTTCTTTCACAACTCGAATCATAGTACATTCTCCCAGGGTTCTATGTTGCTTGTAACTGATAAACAGACTGAGCGACTGGCTGACTGATTTCTTAAATTGTGCAGTAAATTCAATCTGATTATTTTCTCATACTTTGAATGATTCATATCAAATCATTGGACTGTTTTTCGTTCTCTATTTGTAAGTATAAAATCGTCACCCTTTACTGGAATATAAAAATGAAATAACAACATTAATTCCAATCAAACAAACGTTATCCGTATGTTAGTCGTGTACAAGTTTTGTATTCACTGTATACCTACATACTACTTATGAATGTTTTAAGCAACTCGTCGGTTCCAATTTGTATTTTATGATATGATGATAATTAGCATTTCATAGCAATCCTGAATCGATCTAAGTTAGATCATCATTAAAAACCCGGAATCACTGGACGTCCATTTTATCATAGTATGTGACTACTCAACAGTAGGCATCCACGATCCCATATGTAGAAATTGAATCCGGGACACTCGGTCTCACCCACAAATACTTAAAATCTGAACCACTGAGTTGTTATTCAACGGTGTCAGTTTCCAACTTCAATAAATCCACGACGTTTTGCAACTATCTTACACCGTCTTCGATGAGTAACTGACTCACACCCGACGCTGTTCAACTCCATCGGTCATGACTTCTCATTAGAATTCCGAGAATTACCTCTCGAGGCTAGTCACTAGTGAATACTCGATAATTATCGATGAAATTTAACGATCTTTAGAACCCTATATTGACATATATAGAGTAATCTACTGAGAAGTATTACTGGTTTGTGTTTCAAAGTATTCGAAGATTTCAGATATTCGCAAAAGACTATCTATAGTAATCCAGATGTTAGTGCAAATACAGTAAAATGAAAATAATATGTGAATGAGACCTAATTGTTCATTTGTGACAGATAAGAAGAGGATGAATGTGTAAATAAGTTCATAGGTTCTACCGCTCATGGAGTCTTGGGATCATAGTACTATCGATTATTTCCAGCGAACTATGAAGAATTATACACCGTTTTATACGAGGACTCACTAAAAAATATGTCTATTTATCCATGCATAATAAAGTAAATTATCATGACATAAGCCTAATCCGGCCTACATTTTCTTCAATGTTTTCGATTTCCAATAAGTGTGTAGTATCCAATCGTTTCAATAATTTTTCAGTTCATTTGACAGGTAGATACTACATACTGGAGTGTACTTTATATTAAACATTTTGTTCAGTTATTATGACCACTATGTTTGTATTTATTTGACGTGTTATCTACGCTACATTGACATTCCCACAAAAGACAGTTGCACATTACTTTATGCATCTGAAGTAAAGTTCCTAGTGGTAATATCATTTTACTATACAACCTTTATCCATTAAATAGATGAAAATGTGGTTGAAGGTTCCAAAAACAATACAGAAATTAAACATCGAAGATATTGAGGATAGTATCGGCCATCAGACTCAAGCCTCATTCGGAATCTTACTATATTACTGCTGGATTGACCACAGAAGGAGAATGAGAGATGACTCATCTGTTTTATTAATTGAGAATTGCATAAAAATTGACTCAAGCAAAATAATGTTACTCATTCACCTTGAGCTCAGTGATCTAATGCCATGATACTTACCGCTGAAGTGGAAAGTCTTAAGTTTATCTTTGTGATATGATTTGAGTTTGAACTGCTGTTGAGATGTGGATGGTGGTGCTTAAGCCCTTTGAGTACTGGTTTTCAATGGTTTTCCCGTTGATCCCAATTCATAATAGTAATTATCTTACAATGATATGAAATCTTCATAGAGATCATTAAAAGAATGATTCAAGACTTAAAGACTAAAAGATAAATCACTGAATATTAAAGTGAACAATTCAAACAGGATTGTTTAATTGTTAAATTGCTGATGAAACACATTTGCATGACAAAACTCTTATGTCAGAATGGGTTTTGTGGAGATTTTTTAGAAATTTCACAAGTTGAAATCATGAGTCAATGGGATGCGTATTGCTGAGGAGTCCCATACCAGGACGAAACGGTCGTCCAGTGCTTCCAGGTTTTCCATGGTGGTCTAGCTTCAATTGACTCATGATTTCAACTTGTGAAAATTCTTATGTACTTATTAAGGATTTTTTATTAACAATGCAAGCTATATCTTTGATGACTGAAAAAATTTGTTAAAGTACTTTATTAACTAA